CGTTCCCTGTCGTCAGTGAAGCAGCCCATCCGCTGCTTACACTTTTTTTCAAACTTCACACCCCAATCACGATGTCCCCTCCCGACGATAAACCCGCCGACACTGCGCCTGGCGCATCCAAACCCAAACTCATCTCTATCTTCTATGACGAGGATGACAACCCTCTCGACACTACGGCAGCTGCGGGTCGCCCTGTTCTTCGTCTTGACAAAACAGGCAAGATCATCCTCGGCCCTGTTCCTCCTATCATCGACATGACTGTTCCCCTCCAGTCAGACGAAAAAGGCACCTCCTACCCCGGTCACCAGCTACCTCCCCATATACTCTCTGGCCCCACCCCACGAGCGCCAGCCTCGGAGAGTCAGACGTCTAGCCAGGATAGTCTTCGGCTTAGTGACCTCCAGGTCATTATCGAGTCCATGCAACGTCACCAGACGGAGCTCCAGCGAGCCCAGGTTGATCCCCCCAAACTCCCCTCGCTGTCATCTCTCTGCGCGTCCAATCTTGGCATGGTACGTCATCTTCATGACCTCCAGAAGTACTTCGTCGAATACGACTCCCGCTTCCCCGATAGCGCCCCCTCCACTCCTCAATGGCGGGTTAGCCAAGCAAACAAGTCGATTGCCAAGGTCGACGCCTACCACTACTGGTCGATGGTGACTGGCGCCGCTTGTGTTTCGTGGGAGAGTTGGCAAGACGAATTCAAGAAGAAGGCCTTGTCGCCCAACTGGGAGTCGGAAACCCGACGAGTATTTGAGGGTTTGCAGTGTCAGGGATCTACGTTGGCGGCGTGGACGGCGTTCGAGGAGAAGGCTGGCGAATGCCAGATGGTCCTCAGTGATTGTCTCGGCGCCATCACAGAATCGGACATGCGCCGAAAACTCGTGTTTGGTCTCCCTTCGCACATCCTTACTCGTGTCGAGGATCGCCTTGAAGACCGCGGCCTAGGTCGTTCCGTCATATCTCTCCCCCTTCTGCGTTCTATTATTGATCGCACGTTCCGCACCGAGCACCCCACCCCTCCTCCCGCGGTCTATTCATCTACAACTCGGCAATTTCGTCCTGCCCCCGCTGCGACACCTCGTCCCTCCGCGTCGCCAGCCGCTCCTACCACCTCGTCCAACGCTCCCACTCATCTCAATGGCCGTTCTTTAACGCCTGAGGAGCAAGGTTGGATTACCAACAGGAAACTTCCTCCCAAATCTACCGACGCCGGTGACCGAGCCCGCGATTTCCTTGATAAGAACAAGCTTTGCTATTTCTGCCGCAAGGCGGGGCATATGAGTGGCCAGTGCCCTCGTCGGTTGGAAGAGGCTGTCGTGGCCCACGTCAACATCGACGACATTGATGAGGAAGGCGATACGTTCTATGCTGCGGTCGAGAACGATATCGATGCCCCCGACATCCAGTCAGTCCCCCTTATCTTTGTCGACGTCGGTCTCTCGGCTGACTCTCCTATCACTACAGGTCTTATTGATCCTGG